GATAGTCTAGCGTGCTGCTATTACGTATAACTCCATGTAACTCTGAAATCTATAAACTATTCTTGGTTACAGTACTAGTACGGAAACGACCTGTCCAGTCAATCTCAGGGATTTAAAATAAAGCAATGGCGAGCAGCGTAAAGAATCCACTACAAGAAAAACTGGAGGAGACCATCCGTCACACTCTGGTGGGCTTGGCTCTGTCCATGTCCTACGAGCTGGGGATCTTGGAGGCTCTGGTCATGTCAGATACGCCCATGACGTCACAGGAGATAGCAGACGCGAAGCAACTAAAAGAGAGGTGAGTAACATAGGGTTCGATAATGCTGCATGTTTTATCTTACAACTGTTGAAGTTTAGAAGACTCCCAAATATGAGAGTTAAGGTCTTTAAATCAACCTTTGAAAATGAACTTAAATCTGCCGCAAATACTTTGATTATATAAATGGCTACACTATGGGGTCAGCCATGTGTGTGTGGCGGTTCATTTCACCTGGGACCAGCTAAGGGTTGTTGTGAAGGGGGGGGGGGGGGTCCGAACCCGCAGCTTACGGGATGGATGTCAAAATCTTTCCAAGGCCACGACGCCACATACCATGGGACTGTGTGGCCTAGCGGTAGAGCGCAAGACTGATAACTCGAACGTTTCGAGTTCGAATCCGTGTTCAAGTTGGAAGGTCCCTGAGACCACTCAGCTCTGATGGGTACCTAACTCACTTTAGGGAAAGTAAAGGCGACTAAGCATAATGCTGACCACATTCTTCTTTCATTTGCCGAGGTCAAGAAACGTATGAACTCTAATTCTTCTGCCAAACGGATCACAAGGTCTAAAAAAGAAGCTTATGCGTCACATGACAATGTATCAAAAAGTAATATTTTGTATTACCAGAGACTACCCAAGTCTCCACAAACATTTACAATTTAAAGCTCTTTAAATACTCCTTGAATGTGACACACTTTAAATATCTATCTCAGATACGTGCGTGAGCTCTTAAACAGCCTGGTGTGTGCGCAGATAGTTGACATCGAGTGCCATGACAACGGCTACTACTACACCGTTGACAAAGAGTTAAGTCCCATCCTCCTTGGCAACAGCGTGCCAGTCTTAGCCGGCATATCGGCTGTTGCTGTACGCTTCGAGCCTGTTATGAAATGCGTGAGGAAAGACGGACCGTATGGTATGTGGCTTGTACATTTAAAATAGTATGTTCTAAAATAGTACCAAACCGTGTTCAAGTTATATGTTTGGTTTAAAGTTGCCAGCATAACACAACCTTTAACTCTAGCATTAATCCTAATCTTAATAATAATCAAATTCAAAACTCTAACGCTAACCTTCGTACAGATAACGACAGAAAAGACTAACTCTTGTTTAATGTTGTGTTAACGTGTAGGCCTATATGTCTTTTATTACAACCATTTCCAGGGTGTACATACACGGGAACTACACAGTTGGTCAGTTTTTTAGACAAAGCCAGCTCTCTCGTGTTCAACACAGAGGTCAACATTATCCTAGAGAACACACCTGGGCTAAAGGACAAACTTGGTGAGTTGTCCCAGGGTTTGAGAACACACCTAGGCTGAAGGACAAACTTGATGAGTTGTCCATTGGTCTTGCTCTACTGCAGGGGTCTCCAAACTTTTCAGTCCGAGGGCCGCATTAACTATTAAATTTCAGTTCGGGGGCCTATTTCTTCCAGGCATGTCTTTGATTTTTCTACGAAAAGTTCCTCAACCATCACCAACAAACGATTTTTCCTTGGACGAAAAGATCTCCGCGAGCCGGGTGAGAGGACTTCGTGGGCCGCATCCGGCTCGCGGGTCGTAGTATGGAGACCCCTGCTCTACTGTAAAGCAGAAAAACGTCTAACAAGATTTGTAAAAATTAGGGATTTGAATTTCGTTTCTTATCACGCACTTCGTATTGCTAACGTAGACATTACAAGTAGCAAACAACTGACTTAAAGTATAACAAGAGATCCTATATGTATGTATATATATATATATATATATATATATATATATATATATATATATATATATATATATATATATATATATATATATATATATATATATATATATATATATATATCGGTATAGGCCTATATATGTGTGTATAATGTTATACGTGATATGATGGAGGAAATGGGTCAATAGTTGTATAGCTCAGACTTTGATTTCTTTAGATATTTTCTATCACACAATCTTTGCTAGTTGCTGTGGTTGATGAAGTGTCTGGCATCACTGACTGAATCATGTATTGATCATGTCATTATGATAGAAGCAGTTATGACAGCCCCCTACGCTACACCATGAAAATACATTTTTTTCTTAAAAACTTAATAAAACAAAATGTTAGTTTTTTGTTTGTTTTAAATCTAAATAAAAATTTATATTCTTACACAATTATTTTGACATTTCACCCCACATCTAGAGGCAGGCATCAACGTGATCGAGATAGGTTGTGGGATGGGGGCGTTCATTTCACGTCTGGCCCAGCGTTTTCCCGCCAGTACATTTACAGGTAAGTTCTTCACCTGGTATTAAGTGCTACTTATATAGTGAATGCATTAGTGGTACTATATGTTTGCGGATGCGTGAAGCGAATTTCTTAATCCAACGAATTTGCACTTTAGCAATTGTATTTTACATCATAATCCTGTCGTACGAACGCTTAAGTCCAAGCTAATCTTTTAGTCAGCAAAATGTTTTTTTTTACCTCGCTCTTAATGAGATAATTCAACCCACTTTGGTCTTTGTAAAGTTAAACCACCGACAAGAAAAATGTCGTCTTTAGGTGAGATGACTTCAGGTGGGGTAACGCAAGTTGTGTCTCCCCCTTCGGTGGTGGTTTCAGGGCACTTTAACTATAACCTCATTGTATCTTTAACACAAAAATATACAACTTGTCTTGTTAAATATGCACCACGTAAAGTAAACTGGCCAAACTGATATGAAACAGAAGTCATATTTAGTTGACTTTTCCTAAATGCTAGAGTGAATACTCGAAGTGTAATTCACTGAACGGCTTGGCGAAGTTCAAAAATTTAATTTATCTACATATATTTGGTGTAGGTTACGCCGATAAATATGTAGGCTTTTAAGTTGATTTTGTTAACTTTTGAAATGTATTTCAATTTTTAAAACTAATATTTTTCTACGTTTTTGTTGTTAAGGATCAGATTACTCCAGTGTTTGTTTGGAAAAAGGGAGAGAAGCGATATCAGGCATGAACCTACCAAATTTAACCATGATACAACTTGATGTGTTTGATATCCCTGAAGAGATGTACAGCAAATATGACTTAGTCGTGACACGAGGGGTCATCCACTGTCTACCTGACCCAACCCTGGGTCTGATCAATATCCGGAAACTCCTCCGACCCGGAAGTTATTACGTCATGATTGAAGTCGGCCCGGAAGATAACGTCATGTTAAACAAAGATAATCCTAAAACAGCCGGATTATACTGCATGAGCGCCTTCCACTGTGTCCCCCAGACCTACCTAGACGACACGTCCACCACCCACGGCTTAATGTGGGGGAAGGATACAACCATTCGTTATGCTAAAAAATCTGGTTTCAAACTTGTTAGTCACCATCCCCATACTAACATATACGTGGTTTATATATTGAAAGCTGAAAATAAACAAGCTGAACAGTGATGGAGTCATATATATATATATATATATATATATATATATATATATATATATATATATATATATATATATATATATATATTGTATTTTGACTTCTTATTTTTGACTGTTTCTTCAAGTCCGTGTTGTTGCTTCCAGGCATCTCTTCGGGGGCGGGGGGGGGGGGGGTTGGGCAAAGCCCCCCCTCAGAAATTTTTTTACCGCCCCCCCCCCCTAACTAAATGAAATTTATATAATTTATATAGAAAATATGTACTTTTAACAGTGTCCGCCCCCCCCCCCCTGAAAATTTCAAGTGCCCCCCCCCCCCCCCCCCCCGGAGAAAAAAGCCTGGAAGAAACACTGAGATCAACACTTGCTGAAGCATGGTCAAGGATAGAAAGGGATATTTGTTCATAGATGCAAAAAGTAAATCGTATTTTAAAAGTTTAAAACCGTCTTAAGTTATTAAAAATCAAAACGTTTTGCCATTAAAACAAATTAATTAAGAACAAACAAACACACTAATTTAATTTACTTGGAATAAACATCAGTTATTTAGAAAACGTAGAACGCACTATTTTAATTAGAAAATACTTTGACATAAATACTAAGCACTAATTAATATATATGAAGCCGGTAAATTGCATCTTCTTAAACAACAACAATATACTTTACGTTCATAAAAATAGAGTGAGCTACACGGAAGTATATTTTCCAATGCATGTGTTTTGATACAGATAAAACACGGTATGGCATACAGTAAATGGCATCACTTGCAAAAAATATTGCCATACACATAAACACTATTAAAGCATCACTCAAATACATGTAACATGCATATACGAGCACGTATCTTATATATTTTCCTATCAAATAAATTATTACTAGTTTTTTGTTTGTTTTTTTTTGCATTTTTACGTTTGTTTTTGATTTTCATTGCTTCTTTGTACCTTTGATGTAATATACGTTTGTGAAATATAAAAAATACGACATAACAATAACAGCTTTTTTTGTAAGGCATAAACCGTTCTTGACATATTGTCAACCTAGCCCTTGAGGTTGACCTAATTAGTTTCAGTTCAACCTGAGATCACCTGTTTTATGCAAGAGATACAATTTTCGCGTGTTTAATCAAATTGGAAATATTAAATTGTTTTTGTATATTGAAACTGCTAAGTCTTGGATTTTTTTCTCTCTAAATAAACTTGCATCACCGTGTTTGTGACAATTGACTGCGGTGATTGCATAAATTAGCTGCCCAGCAAGGAAAAAAAATTATCAACATAAAATTGGGGTAATTAATTAGCCTAATTAAAAGTAATTAATTTCTCCCATATAAGCATAGAACACTAGGATGGCAAGCAGTGGAAGGAAATCACTAAAGAAAAAACTGGAGGAGATAATCCACTACAGCACTGTGGGTTTTGTTCTGTCTGTGACCTACGAGTTATGGATCTTGAAGCGTATTGTCCTTACAGATCAGCCGATGACGTCATATTAATTTAAGAAGTTAGATTTACGCATTTTGGGCTACATATTTTTAAATTTATTAACAGTAGCATTCCGAGTAAAATTTAAACGTGGATTTCGTTCTGTTGGAGATTTAGGGGTAAGCCTATGGACACCATCTATTGTTTTTAAATGTGAGGGCTAAGTTTAGCAAGAGGGTTAGCGTTGTTACACAAGAAAGAACAACTTGCAACGGCTCACTGACGATATTAAAGTACTATTTTGAGCTTGCAGGTTCGGTAGATTTGGAGTCATGAACGTATTTTATAACACAATTTGGATACTTTTGACACACTAAAACCTATTTTATTACACATATTTTTGTAATTTTTTTGTGAATATAAATTACTTATGATTACAAAAATTTATAAAAATGTTTCTAAAAACATTATTGTGTTTGCATATATGCTTATCTTTAAAAAACCACTATTTATGCATCTAAATTGTGTTGATTGCAAAGGTTTTGAACATGTTTTATCAAATCTCAAAAAATTCTTTCTTAAAAAGTTACCGTTTTAGCATTTAAATTCAGTAGTCAGAGAATGCCTATGAAAAGATCATTCGAAAAGGAGAAGAGAAGATGGTGGAAAGAAAGTGAAGAAAAAAACAACTACTAGACGAGTTTGTTGGTCAATGATCTTCTTGTTAATTCGATGCTACACACAGAGTTTGAAGAAATAAGAAAATAAAAGTTGGTTTCATAATTGGCCCTCATTGTATCAATTCTTATAGCTCGATCGATTACAGATCCTCATGGGCAAGATGCACATTTTATAAAAGGTGGTTTGGAATTACTCACCCCTTTGTTTAAGTTTACCCTACCGTTAACTTTGTCGCTTAAGTCGAGATCACGCATACTTGTACTGTCACAATTCAAATAGTTGCATGTATAACTAGCGCCAATATAGATTTATTTCTAACACAAATAATAGTTTTACATGTGACCAATATGGTTTCAACTTCGTGTACATCTAGAACGAATTACTAAAAAAAAAGAAATTAAAACAAATACCAATAACTTTTTAAATACAGTTAAACTCAGAAAATGAAAAAAAACCTTGCTTTGTTTAATACAAACATTTGTCGTTGCAATATACAGACAGTTAAGAGATTTATTGGGCCAATTATGTTTTTTTTAAAGAGAGCAAGTTCTGTTTTATCTTCTTATTTTCAGTGGATTTGAAAGCTTTTGGTTATTAAAATAATTCTATTTATTTTATTTTTAAATACTAAGTTACGTTATTCACAAAAGTATATGACATTTCACCCCCACATCTAGAGGCTGGCATCAACGTGATCGAGATAGGTTGTGGGATGGGGACGTTCATTTCACGTCTGGCCCAGCGTTTTCCCGCCAGTACATTTACAGGTAGGTTCTTCATTCCACCTGGAGTTAGCTTTTCGTGGCTGATTCCAAACACTAAAATAATACGTGGACCATAGGCGATAAACTTACATTTTTACAACTTTTGCGTTGTTGATAAAGTGTGACATGTTTAAAAATCTCGACGTTGAGTCACAATGTTGGTTTTATCTTACTCCTTGTCAGAACTTCTGGATAAGTACCTAAACAAGGTGAAAGGGACTCAAACGATAATATGTGTAAACAGACATTTGCAGGTTTTTACTTTTTGGCCTCTGGAATTAAATACAATATTTTATATTTATTATTATTTTATATCCGACTTTTTTTTTATTATTAAGGGTCGGACTACTCCACCTTTTGTTTGGAAAAAGGGAAAGAAGCGATATCAGCCATGAACCTAGAAAATGTAACCATGATACAACTTGATGTTTTTAAAATCCCAGAAGACATGAATGGGAAATACGATATCGCTTTCACTAAAGACGTCATTCACTGTCTCCCTGACCCAACCCTGGGTCTGACCAATATCCGGAAACTGCTCCGATCCGGAAGTTATTACGTCATGACTGAAATGGGCCCGGAAGATGACGTCATGTTGAACAAAGATACACCTGGAATGGACGCCCTCTACTGCATCAGCGCCTTCCACTGTGTCCCCCAGACCTACCTAGACGACACGCCAGTCACCCACGGCATACTGTGGGGGAAGGATACAGCCATTCGTTATGCTAAAAAAATCTGGTTTCAGACTTTTTGGTTATTATCCTCATTCTAAAATATTTGTGCGTTATGTACTTCAGGCTGAATAAGATTTATCCTTACTTTGAAAAAAATCTTTATTTTTTTAAAGATGCTATGAAAGCTTAAACAAATTATGCATATTTGTATTTTCAAAAGCTTTCAAAATTATGAAGATAGTTATTTTTTTATAATTAAAGAGAAACTATAACTGTTTAATACACTTTTAATTCCATAAATTTTTATGTTTATAACCTGAGCTTTAGGATTGTAAATTTAATATGTGGACACCCACTCTTATCCGTCAATGTCGGATTTTCCTAATCAATCAATCAATCAATCAATCAACCAATCACCCAATCAACCAACCAACCAACCAATCAATCAACCAATCAATCAACCAATCAATCAACCAATCAATCAACCAATCGACCAATCATTAACCCTAAAGTCAATGGGTCACCGTCTTCCTCGGTTCTCTGCTGCTCTAAGTAATTCTGCAACGGTCAGCCCAATCGATTCTTTCAAATCCTCCATCCAGTGTTGTCTCTGTCATCCCCGTCTTCCCCCTTCTGTCACCATGGTGTGCATTGTTTCCTCTGTACCGTGTCCTATTAATGCTATATAGGGTTGCCAGGTGTCCGGTATTTGAGCAGACTGTCCAGGATAAAATAAATATAAATACTGGACAAGTATATGAATAATACTGTTACCCCCTTCTTCTGCTTTGCGGCATAACCTGAGAAGGGAAGGATGGAAAGGTGTCCAGTATTTTCGGAAAAGGTATCTGGCAACCCTAATGCTATACCACACTACTCTACTACCACAGCTGTAATTAACGACATCGTACAGCTGTAATTAACGACATCGTACAGCTGTAATTAACGACATCGTACAGCTGTAATTAACGACATCGTACCGATGTTCACAATTTGTCAGGTGAGTTAGTCTAGGGGTTGATGTCAGTGGTGGTGGTGTGTTATTTTGTTTAGGTGAGTTGGGGGAGCGCGCGGACGTGTTGGGGGGGGGGGGGTTATATCGAAGGAAGAGTTTTCCCGTTTACTTTTCTTTAGACAGACTGTAACTTTATGGATAGAAGAAGACAAGACATCGAGCACATAACAACTGAAGTTAACTTTTGTACCAAGTTCTTGCAAAAATGTAATGTTTTATCTACGACTTTCGATCGTTTATCACAAATATTTTTAAAGTAATTAAAAACCAGGGGCGATGTTGTAGAGTTAATGATTGCAAACCTGTAAGTATCCGCTGCTGTTACCAAGCAGGAATACACCCAGTTCCGGAAAAATAACGGCGCTGAGCAAAGTGCTGACCGCACAACGCCGCGATAAAAACAACATATCAGACGACACAATCCTTCGTTAAAAACAATCCAAGCTTGTGTTTGTGTGTAGGGTATCCGGGGTGAGAAAGTATACTTTTATTTAATAAAGACAAAACTCGCGTGTATTAAGTAAAATTATGTTGGTGTGTTTCCGCTTATTTTAGAAAATATTATTTAGGGCATCTCCGAGAAAGTAAACATGTTTACAGACTTAGATGTCACTAAACCGTGTAAATAATGAATTCAGTTACGCTTCTTTGTACTAAATTTGTTGTTTGCTGCTCTATTTTTATCATTGTTTATTTTAGTCGCTGGCATTGAGTTTTATTTTTTTAAAAGTAACATCGCCTGATGTGACTAATTAAGGTTTTGTTAATGCAGGGGCGTAGCGAGGAGGGGGGGGGGGTGCGGACCGCACCGGGTGACACCATTTCGGGGGGTTAAACAGCAAAATAATTTACTAAAATAAAAGAGAAAAACAGAAAAGTAGCTTCATTCGCCATGTCGATGATTGTCAATGCACCGTTTTTAGTATACTGGAATACTTAAGTGTACAGGATAAGGTAACTAAACACGCCCCCCCCCCCCCCCCCCCCCCCCAGCTAATCCATCATACACACGAGTGTAGTAATATAGTAGTAATCAACTGCTACTCGTTCACATGCGTATCAACATCTCAGTTAATTATTGACATGCTCTAGTAAACACCGTCTTAAATAATGCATAATTTACTAATGACATTTCACACATACTTTAATAACTCCCTCTCTTTCTTTTTAAAAGGTAAAAAATTATTTCAGACTAAATTAAAACTAAATTTCGTTACTCGATTTCATACAGAATGTATGCGTTAGCAGCAATGCGTGTGTGTGTTTGTGTTTTTGTTGGGGATGGGGTAAGGGGGGGGTGGAGCTGATGACAAGCGTATAAAGCTTAGAACATTAGAACAAGGAGTAAATACAAGAAATTTTGATATCTCTAGTTCCACCTACATCACGTGTAGTAAAAAAGTTACGGTGGGTGAATGTGGCGTTTCTGTAACAAACAAGGTAAATGTACTAGTACGGAGGTAAACACTAGTCAAGGGGCACAACTCCTACCATCTCTTTTATTGTCACTTCATTCATTTCAGGTAAAGTGAATTTTGTTTCAATATATATATATATATATATATATATATATATATATATATATATATATGATAAAGTTTATTTTTAAAGTTCTGGCGATAAAGCAATAAAGTAATCAAAGCATGTTTCAATCAGGTTTAACATTCTTACACCTTAAAATTTCTGGAACTAAACATAAGTATGGTAAATCTAAATAAAACCCGCGCCTTCTCCCACAGAATTTGTGCCTAGCGTCACAGTAAACCAATGGCGAGCACCGTAAAGAATCCACTACAAGACAAACTGGAAGAGACCATCCGTCACACTCTGGTGGGCTTGGCTCTGTCCATGTCCTACGAGCTGGGGATCTTGGAGGCTCTGGTCATGTCAGATACGCCCATGACATCACAGGAGATAGCAGACGCCAAGCAACTGAAAGAGAGGTGAGTAGTACTGTGAGAAACAAATTGACAACGTGAACCTATAACAAATTGGAATATTGAGACGATCCACTTTATTAATCAGTGTCGTTACCTAGTGAACGTTTCACCATCCCTACAAAATTTGATTTTAGAAATTATGTAGATACAATTTTATGAGGTTTAGAGGTTTCCTCTTTTTTTTTAAATATGGGTGGAGGGGGGGGGGGGGGGAAAGGGGGAGAGTAAGATTTTAATTGACTGTGGAGTTTACGTGAGCAATTTCAAATCTTTGGAAGTTTGATATTTTAAAATGTTAATTTATTTAAACAAAATACTTTAATAATACGATGTTATTTCAACAGAATGCATTTTTAAAAAATCAATATTATTAAATTTTAAAGTTCTTTATATTTGATCGTTTTAATTTGATTATGTTTATATTTTGAGCAATTATAAATTTAATACTAATTAAATATTATTATTGAAGTTCCTTAATATGTTCCTGTTATTCATTGAATCATATATTTATTCCTGTAGCATTTTAACTTTAAAATTTTAACTTTGATGTACATAATACTTGATATTTTTATTAACAATAGATACGTGCGTGAGCTATTGAACAGCCTGGTGTGTGCGCAGATAGTTGACATCGAATGCCATGACAACGGCTACTACTACACCGTTGACAAAGAGTTAAGTCCCATCCTTCTGGGCCACAGCCTACCAAATATGGCCGGCATATCGTCTGTTGCTGTGCGGTTCGAGCCTGTTATGAAATGTGTGAGGAAAGACGGACCGTACGGTATGTGGTTGAACCTTAAATAAAACAAATCATTGACGCGATAATACAGTTCAAATAGCACGTTTTAAAATTCAAAGAATAGAATGAAATACAAGTACATTTTCTTTAGCGTGGTACATGTCAATTTGTTCTCATCTTGTTCAGTCTTCAAGATCAATTTGTAGATATTTTGTTTAGTCTTGTAAATCAAGGTATACGTCGTATAGTCTTTGAGTTCATATTGTACACATTTTGTTTAGTCCTCCAGATTAGCTTGAACATTTCTTGTTTCGTCTTCCAGGTCAAAATGTATTGTCTCTATATATAAGATGCAAACTTGTAGCCTACATATCTAGTTTAGTCGTATATGTCAACTTGTACATTTTGTTTAGTCTATCAAGTCAAAATGTTCTTGTCTTAATATTTAGTCTTAGATGCCAACTTATAGACTACATGTCTTTTAATGCAACCATCCCCAGGTCAACTTGTACATTGTATTTAGTCTGTCAATTCAAGATGTTCTTTTCTCAAAATATTTAGTCGAAGATACCAACTCGTAGCCTACATGTCTTTTGATGCAACCATCCCCAGGTCAACTTGTACATTTTGTTTAGCCTTCCAGTCAAAATGTACTTGTCTCGTGATTTCAACTTGTAGCCTTCATGTCTTGTATTACAACCATCACCAGTTCAACTTGTAGCCTTCATGTCTATTACTAAAACCATCCCCGGGTCAACTTGTAGCCTTCATGTCTACTACTAAAACCATTCCCAGGATTTCCCTACACAGGGACAATAGAAACTGTCACGTGTTTAAACCAGGTCAGCTCCCTCATGTTCAACACAGAGGTCAACATTATCCTAGCCAACACACCTGGGCTGAAGGACAAACTTGGTGAGCTCTTGTCATTATGCTAAATTTTAATTCAATATGCAAATTTTAAAGTCAATATGCTAATTTTTAAGTCAATATGCTAATTTTTAAGTCAATATGCTAATTTTTAAGTCAATATGCTAATTTTGAAGTCAATGTGCTAATTTTTAAGTCAATATACTAATTTTAAGTCAACATACTAATTTTATGTCAATATCCTAATTTTTAAGTCAATATGATAATTTTTAAGTCAATATGCTAATTTTTAAATCAATATGCTAAGTTTTAGTCGATATGCTAGTTTTTAAGATAAAGTTGTAAAGAAATGACGTCTTTAAAATAATGGATTTTATTTTCATATTTCTCACTGTATACGTGTTGTTCAAATAGACATTACGTGCGCGTAATTAATGTCCTTACGACTTTAATATAACAAATTACCCTTCACAAATTATATTACAAAGCAGGCAGGTGGGTGGTTTAGCATTTTTTTTTTGTTTTACATTTTTTGTGTGTGTATAGTGTAGCGGTGGGATAGGACAATTTTTATATTTAAATCTGCTTTCGTTTCTTTTATTATTAATTAAAATTTTCGCTGCATATTTTACCAATTAGAACCATAATTTGTGATTTCCCCTTTAACTGATAATAACGAGGATTGGTTTTAATTTTTTTAAATTTAAAAACGTTGTTGTCAATACTTACGTGCACATTTTATTTTCCATATATGTGGTAAGTTCTATTAAACTTACACAATTTTATGACGTTTCACCCCACATCTAGAGGCTGGCATCAACGTGATCGAGATAGGTTGTGGGATGGGGACGTTCATTTCACGTCTGGCCCAGCGTTTTCCCGCCAGTACATTTACAGGTAAGTACATCATTCCACCTGGTTTGTTGAGGTACTTGGAGGGTGGTTTTCGATAAATATAATATAGACTAAAGAGTTTTCAGAGGCGATGCGAGGCGGGGGCGGGCGGTGCGATCCGCACCGGGTGACAACATTTAGAGGGGTGACACCACGACGAAAAATTGCAAAACATATAGAAGAAAAATGCTTTTTGCCAGTTTAGTTAATGAATAATTTGAGTTAAAAAGTCGACCACCTCGACTATACATACACACTCACACACACAAATACACACACTTTTATCTTTTGGTGTGTGTAGGGGGGTGACACCATAAAGTGCCGCACCGGGTGACACCCGACTTAGCGACGCCACTTAGAGTATTAAATAATAATGTGATATTGTTGTGTTTAAACATGCACAATAAACTATAATTTAGTTCAACGAATATTGTATTAAGCAAACTTTTCAAATTATTTGAGAAATATCACAATATTTTCTTTTGAACGGGAATTGTAAACAAAACAGGACACTTTGTATGTAAACATGTACTTCCCTTAACGGTTTCGTTTCGTTGAATATAATTGAATTTCCCTGGCATTTTAAAAGCAATCCGACCCTCTTGTGTCACGGGCTTTACATGAGAGTAGCAAGTATGTTACCCACTACCTTTGGTGATTGTTGCCAAGCAAATTCGCTGTACCCTATGTAATTACATGATTATATGAAGATGGTCATAAACACAATATGACTTTGCGATTTTAGTGGCTCCAATGAGTGGTTTTCACTTAAATGTATGCACCCTTATCTTCAGTATTATAATTTTGTTTTAAAAATCTTCTAGGTTTAAGTTGAAGATTAATATATATATATATATATATATATATATATATATATATATATATATATATATATATATATATATATATATAATAAAAACTAGCGATATTTTAAATATTCATTAATAAATTAGGAATCTGACTTAATATTTGCTATGTTCAGGCTCAGATTACTCCAATATTTGTTTGGAAAAAGGGAGAGAAGCGATATCAGCCTTGAACCTACCAAATTTATCCATGATCCAACTTGATGTGTTTGATATACCAGAAGAGATGTACGGCAAATATGACTTGGTCGTCACCCGCGAGGTCATCCACTGTCTGCCTGATCCAACCCTGGGTCTGACCAATATCCGGAAACTGCTCCGACCCGGATGTTATTACGTCATGACTGAAATGGGCCCGGAAGATGACGTCATGTTAAACAAAGATGAGCCTAGAGCAGCAGCCTTGTACTCTGTGAGCGCCTTCCACTGTGTCCCCCAGACCTACCTAGACGACACGTCCACCACCCACGGCATACTGTGGGGGAAGGATACAACCATTCGTTACGCTAAAGAATCTGGTTTCAGACTTGTTGGTTGCCATCCTCATTCTAAAATATTTGTGGTTTATATTTTGGAAGTTGATAATAATCAAGCTGATAATTGAACAAGACGAATATATACATATATATATATATATATATATATATATATATATATATATATATATATATATATATATATATATATATATATATATATATATATATAAAATCATACTTATGTATCACAATGATATATAAACAAAGATTACCTCTATTGTATTGTGAACTAAAATGTTACAACTCTTCTCTACTATGCTATTTTGTACAAATGCGAATAACTATTATCGGACATACATACATATACATTCACATACACGAATACATATAATTGTCTTGTTTATTTCTTATCTATTAAAGTATTTTCAGTTTCCGTTCTCGCTTTTGTTGCATGTGTATTATTTTGTTTACTTTTCAATGTTGTTTTTATAATTCTAAAATGTGTAACTTTTAAAGAATTGGTTTTTATGTCACGCTTAGTCTGTTAATCGTGTTTCACTAATTTGACCCGTGTTATGTATTTTCGCCATTGACCGCATTAATTTATGGTCACGTGGGTTCAATAGATAAAACCTTCTTGTGTTGAATAAAGTGTGTGTGTGTGTGTGGGGGGGGGGGGGCTGGTTGGTTTAAAAATGTTGGATACTTGTCATGATTTTCTTTCTGCGTTGAACAACGATGTGTGAGCCTTTAGTTTACGACAGTGATTGTAATAGGTCCTAGAGCCATCCCAGAAGAAACACGCTATCAAAATATAAGTGAGGTAACTAATTAGCACAATAAAAATTAATTAATTCCTCCCATGTAAGCATAAAAATACTCAGATGGCAAGCAGTGAAAGGAAATCACTGAAGAAAAAACTGGAGGAGATAATCCACTACAGCACTGTGGGATTTGTTCTGTCTGTGGCACAGGAGTTAGGGATCTTGGAGCTTCTTGTCCTGACAGATCAGCCGATGACGTCACAGGAAGTGGCAAACAGAAAGGAACTCAAAGAAAGGTGGGTCTGACTAAGAAACATTGTGGGGTAATCATATTTTTTAAAGATACGTTAACATTGGTAAATATTGTATTAACATAAACAAAAAACACAATATGTTCAAATAAGCCTCTGCTTGACAATATAGGAAGAAGAAGAAGGAACTTGTTAAAATACGCAGACAATGTTGTGATTATTACAAGCTTTTATTTAACTTGCTTCCTCTGTCGTCAGTCGTCAGTCTGTCTAGATCGAAACGCTGGAGTGAAAATTCGGACACTTCTACTTGACCGATACGATTCACAGTTGGCACGTGGGTCAAGACATGAAGACAATGCAATCTGAAACTAAATTTGACTTTATTGGATGCCTAATTAATTTTTTATGAATTAATTAAAATTTGGACCGAATTAGTAGGCATGTCTATCCAACCACACCACACGCGTCATCACGTTCAATAGCTGCGCCATCACTTTCAATGGCTGCACCATCACGTTCAATAGACGCGCAATGGTTTTTAGTCATGTAACTTTTGTAAATAAAACATGTAATGTACTGAAAAAAATAATTCATAAAAAACGTTTTAATAACAAGCTTTTATGTAATAATGCACTAAAAAGTAGAAAATAAATTATAGACTACTATTTAAATAACTAGAAAGAAAAGCGTGGGTCTCTTCCTAAACATTAGTAAAGGTATCCAATAGATATTAAAGTGACCCACGCTTTTCTTTATAGTAATTTAAATAGTAGTCTATAATTTATTTTCTACTTTTTAGTGCATTATTACATAAAAGCTTGTTATTAAAACGTTTTTTATGATTTTTTTTTTTAAAATGTAGATTGTATCATATAACATCGACTTGAACGTTTAGTCCCAGAGGTGAAACACCAATTGTGGAGGTGACCATCAAACCAAAAAGCATCAATTTTAATTGCATCATAGGATTAATAGCTGATTGTTATAATATTGTAGGCATCATGAAGTAAAGAGTGACACAAAGAGGAGGTAACACGATTGGTGTCACCCTTCATTACCGCAAGGATTCTCACACGACTTAATGACGCCTCTGTATGTTATTTTCCTGTTCTTTTAATTAATTATCTGCCTGATTGTTTTTGTTTAGATACACTCGTGAGCTCTTGAACTGTTTGGTGTGTGCACAGATTGTTGATGTCGAGTGCCATGGCAACGAGCACTATTACAACATAGATCGTGAGAAAGGGTCTATTCTCCTAGATGACAGTTTACCTTTCATGGGAAGTGTAACGTCTTCATACATGCGCTATGGCTCGATAAAAAAATGCATACAAAAGGATGGACCATATGGTAAGTTTTTTAGATTGGTTATCATGCACAAGATATTCTATGGCTCGATAAAAAAAATGCATACAAAAGGATGGACCATATGGTAAGTTTTTTAGATTGGTTATCATGCACAAGATATTCTATGGCTCGATAAAAAAATGCATACAAAAGGATGGACCATATGGTAAGTTTTTTAGATTGGTTATCATGCACAAGATATTTAAACATGTTTTCAAACAAAAGCTGTGATCAGATTTTCAATTGATTGCACTTACTATTACTCTCGCTCGGAGGCATAGAGGTAGGACACACGATATCTTCTACTTAAAAAATTTTTCTTGTTCAAAAATTTCTGACTCTTGAACGCCCATGAGTCCACCCATCTTAAAGACGGCTGACCACACAATCCCTACATAATTGGTACGTCAGAAATGGCATTAATGTTAGGGTCAGCCTGTGTTCTAACACATTAAGTGATTGGCAGAATACGAGCAAACTATCAACATACAACCCCCCCCCCCCCCAACTATTTTGTGTCTTAACGTGTTGCTGTTTTACAACACTGTGTGAATTTAGTTTTGTCTTTTACTTTTGACGTACATCTCTTTTATTCGAGAACACGATGTCTTTTGTTTGAGAGAACTTTTAAAAGAATGAAACTAGTTAAAATTGGTTGTGACCAGTGTTTCTTCCAGACTTTTTTTTGTCTCCGGGGGGGGGGGGGGGGGGGGGGGGAAGGGAGGGCACTTTAAATTTTCGGGGGGGGGGGGGACAACAACACTTTCCGGTGGACGGACACTGGTAAAAGTATATGCTTTCTTTATAAATACCATTTTTTCGGGGGAGGGGGGCGGCAGAGCCCACCCGAAGAGGTACCTGGAAGAAAATCTCGTTCTTACTTACTTTTGATAGAGCTATTGTCTAAAACTTACTTTCAGCTTTTAAAAGCATGAATGCAGTTTAAATTAAGTCCGACTTTCTTTTAACGAGACTATTGTTAATTTTAACATTTGGGTTTAAATTTTATTGGCCGTTTTATTTCCACAACACCGTTTAACTCCCAGGATTGCCCTATACCCAGAATTTGCCATCAGTGTTAGCTCTAAACAAGCTCAGCACACTCAGGTACAACACTGAGGTCGACATTATCCTACAGAACACACCTGGGCTGATGGACGAACTAGGTAAGTGACCATCACTTTTTTTTACCTGATATTTATGTTGTGTATACGGTGATGTTAGTATGAGGCTTGTATATTTGTGGCAACGAAAAAAATGCAGAATGGAAACTTGCACATATTTAAAAGCGTATGGGGGGGGGGGATTGCAGCATAGAAGATATGCGCACATGTAGAAATACCAATCGCTAAAACGAAAAAGAATTTTAAAAAAATATGCGTTTGATATTTTGTGTGCAAAATAAATATTAAGGTATTTTTCTTTTAAATTATGCTTAGTGTTTGAGCTTCAGTGCGAATTATATGTTAAAACGGCCAGTGACAAAACGATTCCGTCAAAACGGCCCCGACATAAAAGCCTAATCAAATCGACTCCGTCAAAAGGGCCAACGACAACTGGACGAATATGTCAGGAGCCTATTTTGTCGTAAGCACAGATGATGGGAGTTAATATGTCATGAGCCAATTTTTCGGGGTTCTTTTGACAGGGCTATTTTGACTGGGTCGTTTTGTTTAAAAAAAATCAGTTTTAAAAACATTTAATTCAAAATTAATATAAGAACAATAAAAAGTAATAAGTTAAGGTCAGATGCGGAGAGAGGGGGGGGGGGGGGTACATATGTCCCCGGGTGATGACCCTAGAGTGGTCAAAATGGGTTGGACAAAAAAATTAAAAGCTCATTTTAGCTGCAGTTGTGCATTTGGGGGCGCCAAATTGAAAGTTTGAACCCGGGCGCCGGAAAGGGTCGCTACGCCTCTGGTTAAAGTACCAATATATCATGTATAGACGTGCATGTATTCATATTATAACTTTTATCCCACATCTAGAGGCAGGCATCAACGTGATCGAGATAGGTTGTGGGATGGGGGCGTTCATTTCACGTCTGGCCAAGCGTTTTCCCGCTAGTACATTTACAGGTAGGTTATTGTCTGTTTGTCTATCAACAGGTACTGAAAATGTTCATATTATGTTCGTGATTTTTCTTAATTAATCATGTTGTTTAATTAAATTTCTAGGGTTCGATTACTCCAGCTTCTGTTTGGAAAAAGGGAGAGAGGCGATATCAGCCATGAACCTTCCAAATTTAACCATGATCCAACTTGATGTTTTTGATATACCTGAAGAGATGTACGCCAAATATGACTTCGCTTTAACCAACGAGGTCATCCATTGTCTGCCTGACCCAACCCTGGGTCTGACCAATATCCGGAAACTGCTGCGACCCGGATGTTATTACGTCATGACTGAAGTCGGCCCGGAAGATGACGTTATGTTAAACAAAAACACCCTGGGTGCAGGTCCACTCTACTGCATCAGTGCCTTCCACTGCGTCCCCCAGACGTACCTGGACGAGAAGTCCACGACACACGGCGTATTTTTGGGCAAGGATACAGCCATTCAATATGCCAAGGACACAGGTTTCAATGTTGTCAGTTCTCATCTACACTCCGAGTTGTTTGTCGTCTATGTGCTCCAAGTTATTTAAAATTTTTGAAAATTCTGGTTGAAAATGGGCTGAACTTTTTAAATTGTGTTATTGTGTCTGAAATGTTAGCTGAAATGCTGATTCATAATTTGCTCTTTTAACTTTACTGTTCATGAAATACATTGCTTTTAATTTTTGTACATCCATTGTTTCTTTCAGATGTTTTTCTACGGGGAGATGGGGGCGGGGGGCGGGTAGGGCACTTGAATCTGTTTTTGAAGGGACTAAATTTTCTGGAGTGGGGTAAAAGTATTTATTTTCTAATATATAAATTCTATTGTGTGAGGGGGTGAGGGGTGGTGTGAAGAAGGTGGTGCCCTACTCCCGATTGTAGGGAAAAAAAAGTCACAGGAAAAAAATCACAAATATGTATTGGCATGGAATTTATTAATACTTTATGTATTAAATATTCAGAAAGTTACGACTAATTAAATGCAATGTAATGTGTATGTTGTAAACCTATACGTATAGTAATATTTATTTAAAAAATATTTAGTATGAAGTATGTAGATTTTAATTCCGTTATAGGCTTACATATAATAGTTGATGGTTTTCATTGTGTTTTTTTTAATACTAACTTTAAATTCGCGTGAGATTGCATAAAGACGTAGTTAATGTGACTTGCTGTTCTCTCAACTCATCGCAGCACTAGTTCAACCACCTGTACTGCCCACATTTATCACGCTCATTTCATAACAAAGCTTAGGATCAAAACATAAAGCCGACACGGTACAAAGGCTGTCATTGACGCAAAACGTCAACTACACACAACATGGACGGACTAGGTTGACTGAGGAGAAGCCGACCAAGAAACGTCCTGCAGCAAAAAAAAAACACATGCGAAACACAATGATGTGTTCTAACAAAATTTTATATGTTTTTTTTCTTTTATAATTATTTTTCCTACCGCGTATTTATCTAAATACGTAACAAAAGTTGAGGTTGCTGTGTAAATTATCTTACAGTATTTGTATATATATACTTTATAAACCATGAGCCATAATGCTTTAAAGTTTGCGAATATGCTACGAAAAAAAAACACCACTTGCATCAATAAACATCCAAAATTTAAAAGTAAACATCAGTTAAATCAAAATTTTTCTTAAATGGTTTTTGTGACTTATTTCTGTGACTTTTTTTCCGATAAAATTTTTCCTTTGTGACTTTTTTCTGTGATTTTTTTTCCGCCTGAAAAAGATACCTGAAAGAAACTGTTCATAAATAAATAGGCCAACTAGAGCCTATTGTTAACAGAAAATCTAAATAACACATAATACAACTACAAATATTGACATGCGTTATTTTTCCAATTCATGCATAATTTATTCATGTAAATACAAATCATACATGTAGATTATTTATATTGCATAGCTATATTTGTATATAATCAATAAAATAATGACTTTAAAAAATTGGAATATTGAATTCTGGGTAAACGTAGATACTAAGATAACAGTTAATGGTGCAGATCAGAAGTTCAAGTTTAACATAATAGCACCAGATACATGAATTTAATTACTAGCCAATACAATTAGAAACCTATTTAATTTGAACTATTATGAAAGTTATTGTTATTTTCAGAATTATTTCATTTTTGTAAATTAATATTCTGATTAATTATAGGCCAACTGATGTGCGTGTTACTGAAAACATTCATAGAAACAATTTATGTAAATCTATACACTGAGTAAAAAAATATTTGCATAGAAATCGTCTTCCATAAGTTTAATAGTTACATTTTTATTTTTAAAAGTATTGTATTCAGCAATAAACCTTTATGTAAAATCTATATATATAATCTATATATATAATTCTCTTCTGGGAGCCGTTAGAAAACAAGCTGCAAGCGCCTCCTTGCAGTCCCCTCTCTTTCTCTCTATCACTATCACTACCACCCCCACCCCACCCCCACATTGTCATTTTACAATCATAGAGACGGGTTTGGTGACGGCTATTAGGGGCAGATAATTTAGTTTGAAACGATTTTAAACTTAGAGGAGGTAACTAAGAGGAGGCTGCTTTCACGTGGGGGGGGGAGGGGGGTTTAGTGTTTTTAAGCAAATATTTTCAGTGGCGGCATTGGTACTGTCGAATTCACAAATTATAAATTACTGAAAAGTAGAAAAAAAAAACAACTAAATAGAGGCGTATGATACGCAGCGGGTCGGCTCGTGTTTGTATAATACACAATACATTTCTCTTGAGATATTACATTTTTCTTTTCTTAAATTAATAACATTTAACTATCACACATTTATTTAAAAAATATCAACAACAAAAAGGCCAAACAGTTTATACCCAACACACAAGTAATAAATTTGTATTAATAAATACTTTCGCTAAAAATATTTTACAAAACGACGAAGAATGGTTTTTCTGCATCAGCTTCAGCATCCTGGGTAAACTAGAACAAAAACAAAATCAACCATAAGCCCATGTCAAATTCAATGCTGGGATGTTTAAAATTATCTTTATATTGTTATGTTTTTCTTTTTAAAAATAGTGTTAAAAAAAGAAAAGTGGGATATGCCAGTGAGGTTTATAAACAAGGTCATTGTTCATGGTTTATAAACTAGGTATGAGTTCATGGTTTATAAATTAGGTCAATGTTTATGGTTTATAAACTAGGTCAGAGTTTAAGGTTTATAAACAAGGTCAGAAATCATGATTTATAAATTAGGTCAGTTCATGATTTATAAACTAGGTCAGAGTTCATGGTTTATAAACAAGGTCAGAGTTTATGATTTATAAACTAGGTCAGAGATTAAAGTTTATTAAAACAAGGTCAGGGTTGACTCACCATCTGCGCCAGGTCATCGTCACATCCCATTCTAATCCTGTCTGGGGTAGCTGGGGCGTGAAGGAAGAAGTGACCAGCTGACCGTTGTGGTCTTGCAGCTTGAATGGCAGACTTGATGGCCATGAGAACTGACACGGACAGGCACAGAGGTGGCTCACCAATGGCCTGAGGAGGTACAGAGGTGGTCAAGAGATAAAGAGGTGGTCAAGAGTTAAAGAGGTGGTCAAGAGAAAAATGATAAAGTGGTAAAATGAAAGGGATAAAGAGGTGGTAAATAAATAGATACAAAAATAAATAAAAACTATCTCTGTATATGTACATATTTATGTATATCTATACATATTACTGCCATACATTAGATGTAATAACTAGTTAAATCAGTCCATTTGTAAAACTTTAACTGTGTAGTATTCAGTAAAAGTAAAGTTTCCCTTTCAAACCTGACGGTCTATGGGGCAAGTGAAGTAGAGTTCACTTGTTTCTGTAACCTCAGCATATGAAGAGATAGTGTGGTCAGCACTATGACGAGACGCCTTTACTTTCCCTAACGTGAGTTAGGTACCCATCAGAGTTGGGTGGACTCAGGGATGGTAGTATTCAGTAACACTGCTTAAAAGAGTATATTTGAATGTCTAACATAATTTAAAAAAACAACAACACATGAAGCCTATAGCTTTAATTGATAAACAGAAGACTGGCTAAAAATTCCTCACTTTGGATGAGTAGACAGCCTTAGGGTTGCCTTCATTTTTCAACAAGGCAACATTGAAACACTTGGGTATGTTTGAGAAGGAAGGGATCTTGTAAGTGCCAGGTCCAGATGAGAGTAGGCTCCCTTTGGCAGACATTTTATACTGCTCTAAACACATCAAACCATAGCCCTTGAGGGAATATAAAATAAACAAATCTATTAACAAGATGTAAAATACTATACTACAATAAACATTAAACATGTTTATAGGCTTATATAGTGCTTTTAATGTTGTGATTCATTTAACACCTAAATCTATAGGCTAAGGTAGGTTTTTAAAATAAAATTATTTAAATGTTCATGCAGTTTTATTTTCTACTCTGTTATAAAAATCAATTTCAATATTCCTTGCATTAGATATCATGATCTTTAGAGAGCTTAGGCTACCCCAGTAGTTATCCATGCCATTTCATTGATAAAAATCTATAATCTCTTCTAATTCTTGAAATAAGAAAATAATGACTCTGTAACTCTCTCACACTATCTTCATACATAATTTTTATGTTCATGTAAAACAGATATCTTGTTCAAGATCAACTTGTTAAAATGTTGACCCAAGCCATGTTACAGCAAAAATCTTAGACAATAATAACATTTTTTTTTACAATTTTGAATGAACACCAATGTCCTTTCTTCAAATACCTGTAGGAAGGCTCCCTCTATTTGACCAATGTCTATGGCTGTGTTAAGACTGTGCCCAACATCCATGACTATATGAGTAGACAGAACCTGAAGATGTATATAATATAAACAATTGAATAAAATAATTATGTAGGTGTTTGGTTTATTTTATTATACAATTTATTAAACAAACTGTATTCATAAATTAAAAACAATAGTGTATTTACTTGTATCGGCCAAAGTTTGAGAAAAATGTCTCTGACTTCAAGATAATGATTAACTCATGAAAAATGTCTCTGACTTTAAGATAATGATTAACTCATGAAAAATGTCTCTGACTTTAAGATAGTGATTAACTCATGAAAAATGTCTCTGACTTTAAGATAGTGATTAACTCATGAAAAATGTCTCTGACTTTAAGATAATGATTAACTCATGAAAAATGTCTCTGACTTTAAGATAATGATTAACTCATGAAAAATGTCTCTGACTTTAAGATAGTGATTAACTCATGAAAAATGTCTCTGACTTTAAGATAGTGATTAACTCATGAAAAATGTCTCTGACTTTAAGATAGTGATTAACTCATGAAAAATGTCTCTGACTTTAAGATAATGATTAACTCATGAAAAATGTCTCTGACTTTAAGATAGTGATTAACTCATGAAAAATGTCTCTGACTTTAAGATAGTGATTAACTCATGAAAAATGTCTCTGACTTTAAGATAGTGATTAACTCATGAAAAATGTCTCTGACTTTAAGATAGTGATTAACTCATGAAAAATGTCTCTGACTTTAAGATAGTGATTAACTCATGAAAAATGTCTCTGACTTTAAGATAGTGATTAACTCATGAAAAATGTCTCTGACTTTAAGATAGTGATTAACTCATGAAAAATGTCTCTGACTTTAAGATAGTGATTAACTCATGAAAAATGTCTCTGACTTTAAGATAGTGATTAACTCATGAAAAATGTCTCTGACTTTAAGATAGTGATTAACTCATGAAAAATGTCTCTGACTTTAAGATAGTGATTAACTCATGAAAAATGTCTCTGACTTTAAGATAGTGATTAACTCATGAAAAATGTCTCTGACTTTAAGATAGTGATTAACTCATGAAAAATGTCTCTGACTTTAAGATAGTGATTAACTCATGAAAAATGTCTCTGACTTTAAGATAGTGATTAACTCATGAAAAATGTCTCTGACTTTAAGATAGTGATTAACTCATGAAAAATGTCTCTGACTTTAAGATAGTGATTAACTCATGAAAAATGTCTCTGACTTTAAGATAGTGATTAACTCATGAAAAATGTCTCTGACTTTAAGATAGTGATTAACTCATGAAAAATGTCTCTGACTTTAAGATAGTGATTAACTCATGAAAAATGTCTCTGACTTTAAGATAGTGATTAACTCATGAAAAATGTCTCTGACTTTAAGATAGTGATTAACTCATGAAAAATGTCTCTGACTTTAAGATAGTGATTAACTCATGAAAAATGTCTCTGACTTTAAGATAGTGATTAACTCATGAAAAATGTCTCTGACTTTAAGATAGTGATTAACTCATGAAAAATGTCTCTGACTTTAAGATAGTGATTAACTCATGAAAAATGTCTCTGACTTTAAGATAGTGATTAACTCATGAAAAATGTCTCTGACTTTAAGATAGTGATTAACTCATGAAAAATGTCTCTGACTTTAAGATAGTGATTAACTCATGAAAAATGTCTCTGACTTTAAGATAGTGATTAACTCATGAAAAATGTCTCTGACTTTAAGATAGTGATTAACTCATGAAAAATGTCTCTGACTTTAAGATAGTGATTAACTCATGAAAAATGTCTCTGACTTTAAGATAGTGATTAACTCATGAAAAATGTCTCTGACTTTAAGATAGTGATTAACTCATGAAAAATGTCTCTGACTTTAAGATAGTGATTAACTCATGAAAAATGTCTCTGACTTTAAGATAGTGATTAACTCATGAAAAATGTCTCTGACTTTAAGATAGTGATTAACTCATGAAAAATGTCTCTGACTTTAAGATAGTGATTAACTCATGAAAAATGTCTCTGACTTTAAGATAGTGATTAACTCATGAAAAATGTCTCTGACTTTAAGATAGTGATTAACTCATGAAAAATGTCTCTGACTTTAAGATAGTGATTAACTCATGAAAAATGTCTCTGACTTTAAGATAGTGATTAACTCATGAAAAATGTCTCTGACTTTAAGATAGTGATTAACTCATGAAAAATGTCTCTGACTTTAAGATAGTGATTAACTCATGAAAAATGTCTCTGACTTTAAGATAGTGATTAACTCATGAAAAATGTCTCTGACTTTAAGATAGTGATTAACTCATGAAAAATGTCTCTGACTTTAAGATAGTGATTAACTCATGAAAAATGTCTCTGACTTTAAGATAGTGATTAACTCATGAAAAATGTCTCTGACTTTAAGATAGTGATTAACTCATGAAAAATGTCTCTGACTTTAAGATAGTGATTAACTCATGAAAAATGTCTCTGACTTTAAGATAGTGATTAACTCATGAAAAATGTCTCTGACTTTAAGATAGTGATTAACTCATGAAAAATGTCTCTGACTTTAAGATAGTGATTAACTCATGAAAAATGTCTCTGACTTTAAGATAGTGATTAACTCATGAAAAATGTCTCTGACTTTAAGATAGTGATTAACTCATGAAAAATGTCTCTGACTTTAAGATAGTGATTAACTCATGAAAAATGTCTCTGACTTTAAGATAGTGATTAACTCATGAAAAATGTCTCTGACTTTAAGATAGTGATTAACTCATGAAAAATGTCTCTGACTTTAAGATAGTGATTAACTCATGAAAAATGTCTCTGACTTTAAGATAGTGATTAACTCATGAAAAATGTCTCTGACTTTAAGATAGTGATTAACTCATGAAAAATGTCTCTGACTTTAAGATAGTGATTAACTCATGAAAAATGTCTCTGACTTTAAGATAGTGATTAACTCATGAAAAATGTCTCTGACTTTAAGATAGTGATTAACTCATGAAAAATGTCTCTGACTTTAAGATAGTGATTAACTCATGAAAAATGTCTCTGACTTTAAGATAGTGATTAACTCATGAAAAATGTCTCTGACTTTAAGATAGTGATTAACTCATGAAAAATGTCTCTGACTTTAAGATAGTGATTAACTCATGAAAAATGTCTCTGACTTTAAGATAGTGATTAACTCATGAAAAATGTCTCTGACTTTAAGATAGTGATTAACTCATGAAAAATGTCTCTGACTTTAAGATAGTGATTAACTCATGAAAAATGTCTCTGACTTTAAGATAGTGATTAACTCATGAAAAATGTCTCTGACTTTAAGATAGTGATTAACTCATGAAAAATGTCTCTGACTTTAAGATAGTGATTAACTCATGAAAAATGTCTCTGACTTTAAGATAGTGATTAACTCATCTTCCACAGACTGACATTCTCAACACATTTTTTTTACCAGCTAATGAGTTAATGCTAGGTAGCCACTGACCATCTGATGGACCAACACTAGCTAGCCTTATAGTTATTACAGTGACCATCTAATGAGTTTACACTAATTAGCCCCTGACCATCTGATAGGCTAATGCTAATTAGCCTATGGTCATTACACAATGACCATCTAATGAGCTTAAACTAATTAGCCTATGGTCATTACACACTGACCATCTAAAGAGCTTTCACTAATTAGCCACTGACCATCTGACGGGCTAAAGCTAATTAGCCAATGGTCAACACATACCGTATGATCCCCGTTAAGACAGTCAATCTCCACCACACTACAACATGCCCCAAATGAGTAATACTGGAAGGGTGAGTTCACTGTTTTGCTCCAGTCCATTCCATTTACTTCAGGCCTGAAAGAATTAGGTGTTAATTAGGTGTTACCAATTTATTTTAAAAATGCCTTACATAAAAACAAAAGCTTAATCAAATAATTAGATAAAATAAAAAATAAAATTTACAAAATCAAATCACACAAAAAAATTTAGATTTAAAAAATGACTCAGTATATTAAAATAAATGACCTTTTATCATTTTTACTTTAGTTATTATATCCTTTAATGCCGAATGAGCTTGAAGTCAATCTAATCGTATACCCCACTACAACTATACAATACACTCACGCATAAAATCCAATCGCTGACAAATATTTTCTATCATCTATGGCCTCATTCACCTATAACAGAATTAAAAACAAAATGAAATATTTAAAAATTTTTTTTTTTTTCACTGTTTCTAGATTTTAAAACTTTTCCCCACTGCATTTTACTGAAAAACTGGTTCAGTTTTATAACACACCATCCTCATTGCAAGTTTAAAACCTAAAATTATTTCATGCAGCTGTTTAAAAAAATGATGGCTATCAGATATAATTTGTATTGTAATGTCAAATGCTTAAATATCTAAGTTACATGTTATGATATTTCTCATAAGCTTTTCTCTCATACATGATTTTGAACAGCATTTGGCTTTAAATATTCAATTTTAAAAGTTTGTGTTATCACAAATTGTTAGTTTTATTATGATTATTGATGAGAGTTTTGAATGTTTTCCTTTTGCTTGAAGATGATTATGAAATTAGCTTACACAAAAATGACCACTAAATGTGTAAGCTGGACTAGTTCCATGCTTGACCTATTTAAAAAACTGGGATTTATATGGATGTTATACCTATATATAAATACATGAAGTTTATATTTAATCTAAAGAGTATTTCTACAAACCAATTGTTGCCATGACAAATCTGGTTTTGCTTCTCTCAATGGTTTAAGTTTGTCTTTTATTTCATTACAAGCATTCTGTGGATTAATGTGTGTGTGTATATATATATATATATATATATATATATATATATATATATATATATATATATATATATATATATATATATATATGTGACCTAGGCTAGTTGCATCTTTCCTGTTCGCAACGCCAAATGTGACCTTCCCCGAGTCTATCCTGCCCGACAACGCCAATTGTAACGAGTTGAACCACTCATGCTACACAACATCGACTACAGTAGAAAGACTCGAAGATGCAGGTTCGCTATTGATCCTTTTATTACATGAATCAAGAAATGCTTCAATATAACACAATGAATCAACAGAAATGTTTCACAATAATAGTCTGAATCAACTGACCCCCTAACAGTCCTCACTAGGCTTCATATAACTGAATCCACATGTCTATTGTCCTTCTTAACACAATATAACCAACTTGAGTATGTCACACAGACTGACTGATCTAAAGCGAGCGATGAAGCTGGAAGAGCGGTAAGAGCCGTAAGAGCCGTAAGAGCCGTAAGAGCCGTAAGAGCCGTAAGAGAACGAGTTCAGTCGTCCCCTCCTATTTATGCCTTGTATCCGTACTCGTCTGCATACTTGTATTCCTCCGTAATCGATACTTGTACTCGATGTCTCCGACCACTAGTTACGCAGTTCTAGCGTACAGTCCGTGAAATAACATCTGCATCCTATCAATCAAAGTTGACAGGCCTTCTGACTCTCTTCGTACCGTTTCCCAAAATAGCACGCGTTGGCTTTGAGATTGTTATCAGTCCGACTTCAATAAGCCACCTGCTATCGGTTGCGTCAGACTGCAATACTGCGTCTCGGCTTCTCGTTCGTTATCAGATTTGTAACTAGTAGTTAGGCCCACCCTAGCTACATCCACCCCTGCCTTTTTTTGTGTGTTTTCAACCACAAACAACGCCTGGCAGGTGCACTCCTCCAGAGTCAATCGCATAATCGTAAAAAAATTTTATTGTTCCACTCACTGTCCACGACGTCCCATTCGTATACGATTGACAGTTATACCTATTTCACATCTCAACTGTGTCTACATCGTCTTCCTGAGACACAAAACAGTTCTAGAATTCACATCCACCCTTTTCGTTTGGTGCCTTCACCAGTTCACTTTTATAGCTTTTTGAACAGTCTGTTCTCATACCAGCGCGACCATGAAAGACTTGATGGTTGCTGACAAAAAATTTCGTCTTCCTTCTGTTCCTCAAACTTCTCCGCGGACCACTTATCTGATGGTCTACTGTCTCTCTGCTTCTGGAAGGAACGGGATCCTCTTTGTTGCCGTTATCCTCCACTTGTGTATCGCGGTTGTTCTGATGATGGTGATATGGTTCCGGGATGGGTATGTGAATTTCCGTTATAGTTTCCGGTTCCCTAATTGTCTTGGATTTCCTTGTGTGTAACTGCTCTTCTTGCCTATTCCAATATTTCTTTAATTGAGCAATATTCGCCCACCGATCCGGTTTGGCGTGATCGATGGGTCTTATCTTAAAGGGGCCACCTGCTGCTTTAGGCATCTCCACGACTTGCCATATCTCCTGTCCCCAGAGATCGTGGATTTTGTTTCTGCCTAACGGGTGACTACGCAGTAATACCCTGTCATTCAGTTTGGGTGGCGGGTCCTTTGTCTGTACCGGCGGTTCCCTTCGCCGTGCTTCATGTTCTAGTCTTTCCTGTACTACCCTGTACATTTCTCTAATTCTTCTCATATGTTCATTCACATATTCCAGTGCGGTGTATGAGCCAGTCATACTCTCCCTTTTTCCTAAGAACAAATCAAGAGGGAGTCGAGCCTCCCGTCCGAACAGCAACATGTATGGCGCAAAGCCGGTTGTGGCATGGGGTGTGCAGTTGTATAGATATACCAACTCTGGGAGAAAATCAGGCCAACGTTTTTTCTGTTCAGGTTCTAGCGTACGCAGCAAATCATGCATGCTGCGGTTGAACCGTTCACACTGTCCGTTTCCTTTCGGATTAAATGTGGTTGTTCTAGATTTGTTGATCCCGTAGTGGCTGCACAGTTGGTTAATTACTTCTGACTCGAAAGCCCTTCCTTGGTCAGAGTGTAATTGTCTTGGTATGCCATATTTGATGAACCAATGTTCTATTAAGACCTTTGCCACTGTTTTGGCAGTCTGATCTCGCGTGGGCACCGCCACCGTCCATTTGGTGAATACATCAGTCATTACCAACACATGTTCCGTCCCATCCGATGATTGCTCCAACGACGTAAAGTCCATAGCCACAATCTCTAGTGGTTTTGTCGCTAGTAGGTGTCCTGATGGCTGTCTCATTTTGACAACTGGCATTTTCGCATGCTGACACCTCACACAAGCCTCACAATGGCGTTTGACCTCCATTTCCATATTGGGCCAGTAACACCTCCGTCGTAATATTTTGTGCGTCCTGTCCTGACCCTGGTGTCCTGCCCTGTCATGTGCCAACCTTAGCACTTCTTCTCTTAACTGTCCAGGCACCACCACCTGGTGTATTGTCCCATCAATTTGGTCATGAATTCTCCGCATGAGAACACCATCCTCTATACTGAGACGGTCCCACTGACTCAGTATTTTCTTTGTTTCTCGACCAAATTGTTCTCTTTCCCTTCTTCCTGGGAATTTTTGTTCCTGGACGTATTTCAATAGCGGTTGTAAGCCACTATCCGTTCTCTGGGCATCTCTTATCTTTTGGTGATTAAGGCAATTAAAATCACTACTGTCCATATGTCCGGGTTCCGTGGATATGTGCTCCACCCCGGTCTGCCCGTTCTGCATCACTTGTACCCCATGAGGGATATCTGTTGACGCTCTGACCTCACATATTCCTGTCAGTGTTTCTTCCTCATCACCCGGTCTCTCGTAAGGATTCCTTGATAAGGCGTCCGCATTGCCATTGGACCGCCCCGGGCGATACTTTATCTCTAGGTCAAAGAGTGCCAATTCTGCTGCCCATCGCTGTTCGATGGATCCCAACTTTGCTGTCTTTAGGTGGCTCAAGGGGTTATTGTCAGTGTATACCACACATTTAGCACCTAATAGATAGTCCCTGAATTTCTCAGTCACAGCCCATTTTAATGTCAAAAGTTCTAGTTTCATGGCGCTGTAATTTGTCATGTTCCTCTCTGATCCCTTCAGAGCTCGACTTGCATACGCAATAACCCTGAAACCTTGCTTTTGTTGTTGTGATAGCACAGCTCCCAGACCTTTAGAGCTGGCGTCAATTTCTAGCCGAAATGGTTTGTCAAAGTCTGCGTATCCCAATATCGGCGCCTCTGTCAAAGCCTTTTTCAATAGCTTAAACGAGTTCAGGCATTCATCAGTCCATAATTCACCTATCAGTTGTGTTTTACCTTTCTTTTTCTCCTTACTGTGTTTCTTTGTCATTTTGTTTACCAAGTCATGCAATGGTGCGGCAATTTTTGCAAAACCCGGCACAAATTTTCTATAGTAGGAAGCAAAACCCAAGAATGATCTGACCTCTACTGTAGTTGTTGGCTGTTTCCATTCTTTAACAGCTGCAATTTTATCTGGGTCAGTGGCGATGCCATCCGACGAAATCACATAACCCAAAAAATGTACCGATTTCAGACCAAAGCAGCATTTGTCTGGGTTCAGCTTTACTCCTATCTCCCTAAGACGGAGAAACACTTGTTCTAATCTTTTTAGATGGTCCTCCCAAGTTTTTGAGTAAACTAGAATATCATCCAAATACACCAACATTATTTGAAATAGAAAGTCACTCATAGCACTCTGCATTACTCGCTGGAATGTAGCAGGTGCATTAGTTAGACCAAACGGCATACGGGTCCACTCGTACAGTCCCAGTGGAGAAATAAATGCAGTTTTATGTTGATCGTTGGGGTGCATGGCCACTTGGTGGTAGCCACTAGCCAAATCCAAGGTAGAAAAAAATCTTGCTCCCCCCAACGCATCAAGACATTCATCAATACGAGGCAAGGGGAATGCATCCCTTCTTGTGATATTGTTCAATTTCCGGTAATCACAACACAGTCTTATCTCCCCTGACTTCTTTTTTACCACTACTATCGGTGCCGCATACGGGCTCGTACTGGTTGTAATAATTCCCTTTTTTAGTAGGTCATTCAGGTGTGCTTTCACCGCAGAGTAGTGACTCGGTGGTAATCTTCGGTAGGGTTGCGCCACCGGCTTGTCTTGTAGTAAGGGTATCTGGTGTTTGATTACTTCCGTGTACCCCAAATCACCCTCATACGAGGCAAATATATCACTGTATTTATTCAGCAATTCATTTAGTTTTGGGTCCTCAGTTTCCGGGAATGTATATGATCGGCCATCCTCTTTCTTCACCTCGGCCGTCACATTGACCGACCTAACTGTTACTTCATTACTGCTGGTATTGCTCAGTTCGATGCACTGTGCCGACTTTTGTACCTCGACGTTCTGTGGTACTCCTACCAGAGTGTTAGGTGGTATAAAAATTTCTTCATCCAAAACATTTGCCACTAATCCTTGAACTAGTCCATTTTCCGCTGATGTGTATGTCCGCAGTAACACGACGCCTGCCCTCAGTGCGGCGCCACATGGTTCTATCATCACATCACCATTCACGCTTCTATCACCAATTTGTAATGTGATTGCCTTGACCGTGTTTGCCGGGACTGATATCCTTCCTCTGGTCTTGGCAAACCTGGTCAACTTGGATCCCCGACCTGGTGTGGTCGATGCGACAATATTTGTAAGAAATTCTGGCAACTGGCCAAGAATATTCATGCCCAACAGGCAAGGTATATTTGACACATTTGTCTCTAGGTTGTGTTTCGTAACGAACACCCCAACCTGCTTCAACCTATGTCCTGCCACCACGACATCCGCCAGAAAATAACCACAGTATGGAATGGTTAGTCCATTAGCTGCCGTCAGGCGCATGCATGTGTCAGACCTCAACCTATGGTCTTTTCCTTTCATCCATTTGGTGTAAAAATTTTCCGTGATTGTCGTCACCTGGGAGCCTGTATCCACAATTGCCTTCACCGCGATGTCCCCAATCGTAATCACCATTTCTGGACAGACTCCCATCATTGTGCTTCTTGGGCCATACCCTCGCCCCTCTGTAGCCTGGCCCTGCCTTACAGAGGACGACCGTTTCCCTGGCAGTACCGTGCCATATGTCCGGGTTGTGAACAAGACAAACAAATTGGTCGACCGTCGGCCGTCCATTGGAGTGATGGCTTGGCCGGACGCGGCCGTCCAACCCGTCCCTGTTTTGTCCCGTTCTTTTCCCGATTCTCAGCTGTTGACCTGCTTTCTAACCTCTCCAAACGTTGGTCAACCTTATCTAGGTGGGCCAACAGTTGAGCCATCATGGTCTCCATCGTGTCGGCCCCTGTGGGTGGGGATTGTCTCTGTTCAGGCACAGAGACTTTGTCCACCGAACAGTTCGATTGGTCCTCATCCTCGGACCTGCGGATCGCTGAGTTCCTGACCTGAAGGAAGGTCAACTGCGGTTCTTTGTGGACCTCCTCTTTCAACTCTCTTCTTAGGATTGGGGTTGCCAGCCCCTCAATGAAATGGTCCCTCAGTAGGCGTACATCAATGTCCGGTGTTTTGACCTTTACCGAATCAAAGGCCCTATTCATCCGGTGTGAGTACTCCATCACACTCTCCGCCAATCTCTGCCTCAAGCCTACGAACCCTGCTAGCAGTTGCGATCCCGACCGTCTCTCCCCAAAGGTCTCCATAATCAGATCCAGCACCTTATCTGGATCTGATTGGATGGTTTTATCGTGGCATTTGACCTCTGCCCTAACCGTCTCTCCTATGCTGCCCATCAGCAGTCTTAATCTTTCCTCTGGTGACATGCCTCTCGAGGCCCAGGCCGCTTTGACCTCTTCACTGAACCTGTTGGTTAAAGTGGGATCACCGTCCCCGTAAAATTTGTTAATGTGGGACTCTCTGGGTAGGACCACTATATGGGTCTGCTTCTCGTCCAGAGTAGACATTTTATTCCGTAAGTAAAACAAAAGAGTTCTTTCTTACCGTGTGTATATGAAAAAATTTTCCTCGATTTTCACAGTTCCTGAATGTCCGAATTCACATACACACAAAACACAGTTATGCACAAGGTTGACTATGGGTGCCTAAAACGGCAAGTCTAGTTGAATTCATCCTGCTCGACGACGCCAAATGTGACCTAGGCTAGTTGCATCTTTCCTGTTCGCAACGCCAAATGTGACCTTCCCCGAGTCTATCCTGCCCGACAACGCCAATTGTAACGAGTTGAACCACTCATGCTACACAACATCGACTACAGTAGAAAGACTCGAAGATGCAGGTTCGCTATTGATCCTTTTATTACATGAATCAAGAAATGCTTCAATATAACACAATGAATCAACAGAAATGTTTCACAATAATAGTCTGAATCAACTGACCCCCTAACAGTCCTCACTAGGCTTCATATAACTGAATCCACATGTCTATTGTCCTTCTTAACACAATATAACCAACTTGAGTATGTCACACAGACTGACTGATCTAAAGCGAGCGATGAAGCTGGAAGAGCGGTAAGAGCCGTAAGAGCCGTAAGAGCCGTAAGAGCCGTAAGAGCCGTAAGAGAACGAGTTCAGTCGTCCCCTCCTATTTATGCCTTGTATCCGTACTCGTCTGCATACTTGTATTCCTCCGTAATCGATACTTGTACTCGATGTCTCCGACCACTAGTTACGCAGTTCTAGCGTACAGTCCGTGAAATAACATCTGCATCCTATCAATCAAAGTTGACAGGCCTTCTGACTCTCTTCGTACCGTTTCCCAAAATAGCACGCGTTGGCTTTGAGATTGTTATCAGTCCGACTTCAATAAGCCACCTGCTATCGGTTGCGTCAGACTGCAATACTGCGTCTCGGCTTCTCGTTCGTTATCAGATTTGTAACTAGTAGTTAGGCCCACCCTAGCTACATCTATATATATATATATATATATATATATATATATATATATATATATATATATAGCAAGAAACTATAAAAAAATAGAGAGATGATGTGATGATATCACAAACTATGCATGAAGAATTATTTTTCATCAAAGCTTCATCATGTAAATAAAACCGCTATTGAATCAGTTTAAATGTGATCAATTAAGCAAGTCATTATATAAAACAAGTCATTATACCACCACAGCTGGTCCTATAAGGTCAGAGGTCATACTGCCTGCCGTGGGGCTGGAGTTGGGAGCTGTGTCCGTGGATGTGTCAGGAACACGGATAAACTTGACGTCAACATTTAGGACCTGGCTGGCAATCTGAGAGAAAAAAATAGGAAAAGGCGTCAACATTTTAATTCATATTGCTACTTTTGAATACATAAAAATTACATCCCAGTCTTATTGGTAAAAATAATTATTAAAATTGGGTATAGAGGGGTTGGCGTGGTCAAGTCGGTAAAGCTCATGAACCCTCGGGTAGATGAAACTTGTTAGCTAGGGACAGCCACTCTTCTAGGAGAGACAACTCCAAAATCAAACAACTGCTGCCTTGTAGTTTGTTCTTGGTTGGACAAAGGTTATGGAAGCAAATCCAAAAGAAAAGCAGGCTGAAATCGGAGTAAATAGTCTCAATGACGCATAACCAGTTGACGCGTATACTTAATTGAGTTGAAGGGGCTCCCTTCCAATACTAAAATTAAGAGCGAAGAAGAAGAATATTGGGTATACAGAAAGGTTAAAGATTAAAAATGCTGTCATTTTTGCAAAATTGTAAACTGTTTTCGAGTGGTACAGTATGACATTTCTTACATACAAGCCTTGGGTTCTTCCTGGATCAAATCTGTAGAGTGCATGCCCATACACAAAAATGGGTGAACTCTACTTCAACTACCCCACTGGTTAACAAAGTACTTTAAAAAAAAGAAAATAGTACCTGTATCATTTTAGTGTTCAGACCTTGCCCCATCTCCACCCCACTAGTCAACAACAGCACAGATCCATCACGATAGACATTCACCTGTGCAGAACCCTGCAGACACAAACAGATATCAATGCATTTTTAATATATGCCAACCCAGAGGCGTAGCGACCCCTCCCGGCGCCCGGGGACAAACTTTCGATTTGCGCCCCGCCCCTCGAACTTTTCATTTGCACCCCCCCCCTCGAACTTTCCATTTGCACCCCCCTCAAACTTTCGATTTGCACCCCCCCTCAAACTTTCGATTTGCACCCCGCCCCTCGAACTTTTCATTTGCACCCCCCCTCAAACTTTCAATTTGGCGCCCCCCTAAGGTCGGCGCCCGGGGACATATATCCCCCCGCCCCCCCCCCCCCCCCTTGCTACGCCTCTGTGCCAACCAATTAGAAAGCCAACAATTTACTGATCATGTAATATAGGTATGCATAAGGTAAGCAGCAACTGTAAGACATTGGATACAAATATACATGAAAAACATGAAAGTGATTTAAAATATTCTTTTTTCAAAAACAAAGAAAAACCCTTAAAAGCAACTTAACAATGAACCACAATGAAGAAATGGCCTTTATGTGCAAATAAAAGTATTCAGAAAATATTGGTAATGTTGGGTGTGGATTGTATAAGTTTGTATAATTGAAAACAAATAGCTTATAAGACACAAGTGTGCCATTTATATTCTAACAAAAGAAACACTCCATGCTTGTAAAAATATAAGCTACTTATTAGTAAGCTGATATATTTTTCGAAATATCTGAGGTTGGGGTGGGGGGGGGTCAAGTCAAAGATATTTAAATGTTAGAGTTAATAACACACAAGACTAAGTTTATATTTAGAACACTGAAATGTTTTCACTTAGAGTCCTAAAACCAGTCTGAGATTTTACTTTTCATATCCAAAACTTTAAGAAAGTTGTGAATGCATTAGCTTTAAATTAATATATACTGTATAAAACATACAGTGCTAAATACCTTGTTTAATAGCTTCAATGGATAACCAATGCCATAGGTTAAGGGTGATAATGCAATGCCTCTCTTTTTATTTGTGTTTGATCTGAAAAATTAGTGGAATTAAAAGTTTATCTGAAATGTATGTTGAAAAGCTTCTTATTTTGCATATTTATCAAGAACGTGCATAAGAAAATAAAAGTTAGTATTGTTTAAAGTCAAATATGGTTTATAAAATATAGTTTAAAAATTGAACTGATAGTAAAATTCTGTTACTTTCAGATTCAAATTTTAAATTTCTCTATATTTAAGAGTTTGTGTTCTAAACTGTCTTTGTATTGTAAAAAAAAGCATAGTAGATTGTTACATTTTATTTCATGCATTATAATTATTAAAATCTTATTGGTATTGTTTATTTTAAAAAGAATTCAGTAAGACTGAGCATCCCGCGAACACACATAAAACAACCTTTATTGACTATTAAATGGTTTACTTGTTAAATTTCTCCACATTAGTTTTAAGTTCATCGTAGTTAGAAAATATTTTGCATTCCCCCCAGCAGTCCAGAAGATGACTTTTTTCTATGACCTGGCCGTATGCCACTTGGTCACCCTGCTTGTAGAAGTTTATTTCACGAATCTGTTACAGAAGAAAATGATAAATGTTAAAGCTTGGAGTAATGGGGCAGTTTCTTATTTGGATGCAAAGATTACACACATACTTTTTGAATAACACTGCAAAATTGTATTGCCATTGTGAACTAAATCAAGAATTCTAAACAGAAAGTGAGGGGGAGGTGTGGGTGGTAAAAACTATGACAACATCTGCTCCTGACATGACAGCAGATCTTTACTGTAAAATTTGTTTCACTGACTGTGTTTTTTCATCTTTATTTCTTGATCAAACATTTTGACCAGCTTAGCAGTACTTAAAATAATTTGATTTTACTAAAAACTAAGTTTTTCTGACGAAGGAATTCATTCAAGATTTCAATTTTTTGCTTGATTACAAAACTTTCTCTAAACTACGTTTACAAGAAAGTAAAAAAAAACCAGACAAATATTAAAATATCTGGGCCTAATGTAAAAGTTAATTATCATTAATTATAATTAACTTAACAACTACAAACTGTGGACCCAACCCAACCCTGTACTCACCAGCACAGGGTCCATCCCCAGGGTTGTAGCCACGTGGTCCATGATACTCTCCATGATAAACACGGCCTGGGGGGTACCAAACCCCCTGAAGGCCGTGTTAGAGGCTATGTTGGTCCTACACAGCTTGCCCTGAATGTGGACATTGGGAATTTTGTAAGCGTTGCTCATCGTCAGGATACATCGCTCTGATACCTGGAGGTAAAGTACATTATTTTATATTCAATATGTTCAGATGTTATGTATTAATTAGCAACAACATTGGAAGTACCTGGTATATCAATATTGATATTGGTATTTTTAGGCAAGTGAACTTGTTTTTTTAGAACTGATTTATTTAAAATAAAACAATGTGAGTATTGTAAGCCATTATGTCAGCACTATATTTTTTGGGTCGCATGTTTGTCTACTTAAGAGCCAAGATAAATAAATTCATAATCTTTTTTATGTAAACATTTTTCAAGATAGAAATTATTCACCAATGAAAAAAAAATGACATATAGATTTTAATTTTTTTAATGATTTGGACTTAGTTTTTGAAAAAAAACTTACAGGGGCAGACATGTCCAGAGATGAGCCAGCGTTTAAGTAAACCTCAGCCTCTAGTGCAACCAGCTTGCCATTTTTGTTGAACCCAACCTGGCAAAAAAAAAAAAATAATAATGAAAATAATAAAAGTTCACATATATTTTATTGAAAAATAAAATAAAAATAAAAATCAGAAAAAGAATAAAACTAATATTTTCACGTAAAATGAAGTAAAGTAATTTAAACTGATTTGTTTTCCTACTTTGTATTTGGCCAGTATAGGGTGTCTAGTGCCAGTAAGTCGCATGTCCTCATCGCGGTCTAGAACTGCTCTAACTGGCCTTTTGTACCTGGAATACAGGTGGACTCTTTTAAATGAATAGCAACAGGTATAAATGAAGAAAGCTTCACCAGGTAATATAAAAATCATCTGGGGCCATGGTCACCATGACATGGAGTATTTGCCTCACCTCCTTACTGGCCTGTTTAGCTGTAACATTGAGTATGTGGGAGAGGAGGGCCAAGATGTTCAATAGACCAGATTAGGATATTATTATTATAAATGTTTGTGTAGGGCTAGGTTTACAGATTGAGCAATGATGATTCTTGATACTACAGAGCTTGGTTAGGCCATAGGTTAGTGTTGATTTTTATAGAAATATCAAGCGATTGGGCCTGGAGTGCTAAGAAACCAGTATCTTAGAGGTTTAAATTAACAACACACTACAGACACTCAACACGCCCTAAAACAAATCTACATTCCAGAGGCTAAGTGATACATTTATAAATACAACTAATCTACATTTGGCTTACTTGTGTGCAGCCACTGCTACAGGAAACACAACACTGCCATGGCGAGTTTCTTTCCCACCAAATCCACCACCTGCATTCAATATATAGGCATATTTTATAATCACATACACAAGGTAAACTTTCCCACCAAATCCACCACCTGCATACAATATAGGCATATTTATTTTCACATACACAATATATAGGCATATTTTATAATCACACACACATAGCAAACTTTCCCACCAAATCCACCACCTGCATACAATATAGGCATATTTTGTAATCACACACACATAGCAAAATTTACAACAAAAAATCTGCCTGTATACAATATAGGAAGATTTTATAATAACACACAAACATAGTGAACTTTCCCACCAAATCCACCGCCTGCATACAATATAGGCGTATTTTATAATCACATACACAAGGTAAACTTTCCCACCAAATCCACCGCCTGCATACAATATAGGCATATTTTATAATCACACACACATAGCAAAATTTACAACAAAAAATCTGCCTGTATACAATATAGGCATATTTTATAATAACACACACATAGCAAACTTTCTTACCAAATGCACCGCCTGCATACAATATAGGCATATTTTATAATAACACACACATAGCAAACTTTCCCACCAAATCCACCACCTGCATACAATATAGGCATATTTTGTAATCACACACACATAGCAAAATTTACCACGAAAAATTTGCCTGTATACAATAAAGGCATATTTTATTTTCACATACACAAGGCTAACTAAAGGGCATTACAAGGGGAGGTAGAGTGGTGGGTGTTGTCTTCCATGGGGGGGGGGGGGGGGGGGTGAGCTGTTATGAACACCACGGATTATATTAATACATCCCATCCATCATCCATGTATCAATCTTCAAATAAAACAAACATTTCATTTTCAAACAATTTTTTTTTCATTCATTCAGGCTAATCATTCAATGAAAGAATTTTAACATTTCGTTTAAAAAAAATATTTTGCTTATTAATTAGTTTAAGCAATGTTGAACAATCTTAACAGAGTTAGTCTAAAAATCGTTGATAAAAAAAAGTTATTAAATAAAAGTGTAGTTTTTGGTTAGACATTCCAACTATATTCACATTGTTTTAAAAATTGTGGCTGTAAAGGGAGCGAAAGCACAAAAACTATAAATTTGGAATATTTAATCAGTAGCCTCCCTTTACATGGGAGTTTACTATTCAGATAATCTTCCACTGAAACTATTTATGCCAGTTAATTATAACTCAAATAACTTGGACATTTCAATTTGTCTTGTAAACTTTACAAACTGCACAATGATATTAATACTAGAGTAACGTAACTAAAGAGCAATTAAAACAACTTACCGATTCTCTTAACACTGACAGTGATTTGGCTCTGTGAAATGCCCAACACTTGGGCTAATTCAGTCTAAAGAAGATATAATCATGTTATACTTTTTCTTATGCTTTAAACTAAAGTTACATCAAACAGAATACATTTTAAGCATAATGTGTTCTTAGATTGGCTGGATGAAATAAATATGAAGTGCATCTATGAGTATCGGTTTAATAGTTGGGCCTATTTAGACTGCATCCAAAATTCAAACTAATCAATTTTATAATCTTAATTTAAGATTAATTAAAATCAAAGAAACTTTATAAAACTACATGCCGCAACAAAAACAGTGACACTGGAAAATAGTATAAGTAGTTGCCGTTAGTAACACTAAAGTCTCGAGTAATCCGGGTTCAAGACAGTAGATCGTCCCTGAGTCCACTCAGCTCTGACGGGTACCTAACTCACGTTAGGGTGAGTAAAGGCGATTGGAACTAGTGCTGAGCACACTATCTCTTTACATGTCAAGGTCATAGAAACAGCTGAACTCTACTTCACTTGCCCCATGGACTGCCAGGTACGAAAGGTAACTCTACTACTGCTACCGTTCTATAAGTGATATCCTAGCAGTAGAGAGGCAGCTAAAAATAGATGCTCTTACATGGATAGCATCCAGGTTCTGAGTCATGCAGGTCACGTGGTACTCGTCCGTGTCCCGGGGGGAGACGATGCAGGCGTGGGGCTCCAGATAAAAATGTTCCTGGGCCCCCATGGACAGCTCCCCCTCCACGGTCTGGTCACATGAGGAGAAGCCGTCAGTCACGTGACCACACCGCACGTGCTGGTTGTTGTCATAGTACGAGTTGGCTTTGATGGCTTCCTGTGAGTAAGCAAAGATACGCTATGCATTATGTAACATGTGAAATACCATAGTATGACAACAATCTGAACTTTTTGTTTATATTGCGTCTTGTTATTTTTTTTTTTTTGTTAGGTTAGGATAGGTCATGTTATGTTGCTATTAGTTACACTACATCAAATTATGTTTCGTCACATTTCCTTTGGTTTTTCACTTTTGTGACGATGTCAAACATATTATGGGCGGATGAGGGGGGGGGGAGAGAGAGGGGGTTATGTGACGTCACATTCGTTTTTTGTTTGTTTGTTTTGTTTTTTAAAATAGGACTTTTTACATTTAAAAAAATATTATACTTAATTTCTTAATTTCGACCCAGTGGAATTATTAATTTGGAAAGATATTCCATTAAAAAAAAAAAAGCCATAAGAATTACAAATTGGGGGGAAAGTGTGGGAGGGGGGGGGGGAGGCTAAGTCTAAAGCGTGTCGTCGTTTCACTATAATGTTAGGAGGGGTAGCTAATGTTTAAATGTGTTTCAAAAGCATAGTAAATAAATATAAAGTAGCCCAATTTTACTGAAAGCAAAATCTAAAAAGTGTAGTATTGTATACCATGCATATTAATGATCTTAATAATTAGATTTCAAAGGATGGATATAATTTTTTTTCCCGAATCAACAGTCAATGGAAGAGCCTTAGAAACAGAATCTTTTTCGGCATCTCTTCATGATGCACTGCCCCCCCCCCCCTCTTGAAGAACGTCTACCGCCCCCTCCTAAACGAAATACAACTTTACTAAATATATAAGTGCCCCTTTATCCCGGAGAAAAATGTCTTACAGAGACACCGCACAGAAACTAAATTAGTACTAAATCACGACGAGACAGAAGTTAATGACTCCAACATAAAAAAAAAATGTTTAAACGAGAATCGGATAGAAAAGTGGGTTGAGGTTAAAGACATCAGCTGTTCAAAAGTGGAGCGAACCGCGACGTGACGTAGTGCACACATTGTGTTCCCGTGATTAATGTTACCACCGCGGCGTTGACCTACAAAGCGCGAGCTGTGACGAAGTGCACATATTGTTTGCCTACCGCTCTCACGGTGGGAGACACACATTGCTGTCAGCAGCTGAACAGCTGATCCGTTAGCTTAACGTTATCTCGGCTTCACATCACAGCGTACCCGCTGAGGTCAAACAGAAACGTACTTTTATTAGCGAACAGAGGCGTAGCGACCCTTCCCGGCGCCCGGGGCGAACTTTCAATTTGGCGCCCCCCCCCCGCTTATATATATATATATATATATATATATATATATATATATATATATATATATATATATATATATATATATATATGTGTGTGTGTGTGTGTGTGTGTGTATAATTATGTGTGTGATAGTGTGTTTATATATAAGCTTGTGTGTGGGTAAGAGTGTATTTGTGTGTGTAAGCGTGTGTGTAAGCGTGTATGCTACAGTCCGGACAAGGTTTAATAATTACATTGTATGATTTTCATTCCTTAAAACTTTACGACAATTTAATTCCCCATTAAGATGCGTTTAACTTTTTTTGCGAAAGATTAGTAATGTCAGTAAAAAAAAATAAGCCTGATCTGTGTTAGAGGGTAGTTTGTAGCTAACGCTAATATGTTTAGACCAGCCTTTTATGTTCTAGTTTTGAACGATCTCTGTTGTGATATGGTACATAGTTGGATTCGAAGTTTGTTAGAGTAAGGACACACAAGTGACATACAAGAAGAAGTTATCAGAAATATTTATTGTTCACATTGGAATACGATATGGGTATTTCGTT